TATATATATATATATATATATATATCATAACAAACAATGGTGAATGAGATAACTTTCACATATTTTAATAGTTAGACATGTCTGAGTGTGTGTGTGTGTGTGTGTGTGTTGGTTTTTTTGGGGGGGGGTCCAAAAGTTGCTTGAGCAGGAACAAAGATTTGCAAATATATGAACCAAAGAGTGACAGACTTTTGAGATCATAGATGTGACTAACTAAGCATTTGAATAATGCATCTGTCATATATTTGAATGACATGTATATATTTATTTCCATACCTTTAGCTGAACAAGCAACTGTAATAATTCACTTGAAATAGTACATTTAAATAGCATAGTAGCAATGTGTTGTAACTTTCATTCAGCACTGTTGCTACAGTATATGCAGGACACAAAGCTTACAGGTTCTAATCAAAGTAAGAAGATATGTACATGTAGTTAGCATTTAAGAAGTATTATCATATGAATTTTTCAAAATATGAGCCTGTTATCTATCTCCAACTTTTTACTTATCAGTCCATATCACAAGCATTTTTCTGTAGCTAATTTGTGTGTATATATATATAAACTCTTAACCACTTTGGCATCTGAATCATAGTATGTCTCTCCTAAATTGTTAATTTTTTTTTTTTTTATAGAGTTACAGTGATGTTACTTTTATTTCTACTGTTAGCAGTGTGTGTGTTGTTTTTTATTTTCTGTGATTATTTACAACACCATAGTAAAATATGGCCTTTAATAAATGACACACAGCATGTATTTTTAAAATTTTTTTGCTTGTTTGGATTAGAGTGCACTGGTAGATTTTGGGTATCTTGACTTTCACAAAGCCTTTGATAGCAAGTGCAAGTAAAGTAATTAATTATATCTTTATGGAATTGGCAAAAATCTTAAGCGGTGATAAAAAAAAAAAATGAATTGGCATCAGAAAATATAGGGTAGTAGTAAATGTGTATTTTTCTTATTAGAAAAATATGATCTGGGCATTCTTAGTAAATAAGAAAATGTATAAGTGTAAAATTATGCACCTCAGGCTTGGAAATCAAACCTGGAAAGGATTTATTTAAACTTTAAGAATAGTAATTATCAGGTAATACTTTCAAGGGGTTCCTTCAAGTGTTTTATGTAGAGAAAACATGTAAACAAAGTGCAAAGATTAAATAAGAAATTTCTACTATACTAGGAATACTTCTGGTTTAACAAAAAAATGAGTAAATCTGTGGGAAAGCATTTAAAGGTTGTGAAGATTGTTTGTGTATCATAAACTCTTTTAAAGCAAGTTGGGAAATAATGTGAGGAAACTAACCAAAGGGTATAGTAAGTTATGTTGATAGGAAAATTGACAATCAAATTAGTTTAGTTCATATTAGTACTAGAAGTTTTGTGAATAAGTTTCTAATATTAAAAGCTTTTGTCATTGGTAATTAATACTGAATCCTCTTACTACAGGAAGGATAGCAACATGTGAGAAGAGTGAAACAGTCTTCTATAAGTAGAATTATACATGTTTTATGCAATTTAGGCTAGGTTACAATGTCGGATTTGTTTTGTTGATAGTATATTAGGAAACATAAGTTGAATAACAAAGATAATAGGTTTATCTTTAGGAAGCCTAGCTGAGGTAAGAACTTGAACAATGATTTACCTGATGATGTGTTGTGTGCTCTTTTTATTGAATTTCTGTAGTTAGGTATATGAATGTGCAGAGTTTCATTTTTGGTTTTGATGTTTTGGTTGCTTGTTCTTGTGTCTTAAGGCACCTTTTATTATGTTCTTAAAAAAAAGATCAGTGTTTATGTTTACTTTTTTTTATCTAAATGTGTAAGTACTGAATGTCAGTTGTGTTTGATGGTTAATTTTAGTTTTACTCTTTAATCCTCAAATTATTGAGTTGTTTTTATACCATTGACTACTGGTGGTGAGACTGACAACGTGCTGCATCATATTGAATAATATTTGTTTTTACCTGTTACAGCACTCAACATAAAGAACTGATAAAAGAAATTGGGTGGAATTATTTATTTTCTATGAAAATACATATTGGAAACCCTAGCGCCAGTTCGTGGAATTGATTGCAATGTTAATGATATTTCTGTTGACATATTTGTATGACTGAAGTTATTAGGAACCCTATATAACTAACATTAAAGAAATTTATGTACAGATGCATACAGCAAAGGCAGGTAATGTGCTTTGTTTTAAAATTTCTAGAGTTAAAATAATTTTTATTTTCAAGAAAAAAACAGAATAATGAATTGTGTATTTATTTATATATGTTGTTTTTTTATCTATAGGCTAAAGAAAAATCAATAAAAATATTTTACCCTATAAATATCTTATGATATTTGTTAAATTTTGGTTTCTATATAGTAGAATATTTTAACAAAATTTACCAACAGCAAATTTTAGTGTGATTTTTCTTTTAAAAGAAAACTTTAACATAGCCAATAGCCCGAAGTCCCTATAATGCAATGCCACTTTCAAAGGTTGTTTCTTTGAAGTTTCCTATCATTTTATGACATACTTTGTTGACTATTCATATTACCCATTGTATGACCTTGTGTTCTTTTGAATTCCATTCTGACAAGAACAAAAGGTCATGTAATGAGTAATACGTAATGGGGTAGAAGATGTGACAAAGTATTTATGGGAGTCAGAATTCTAAAGTGTATGAAACAAAAGCTAATTAATTGTTCCTCAGGCTTCAGAGAAACCCAACACTGAAGGTATGGTTTGTTGAAAACATGAGGTTTAATAATAAAACAGAAAAATTCATAACCTTGAAATTTTACCAGATGGTTAGATAAAAAAAACAACTGCTATTATGATGGTAGGATAATGGATATGTATGAAAAAAAAAAAAAGGTTTTGTCCTTCTGTTCTTGGTTTGTTAATTTTTATGATCTTTATAATAGGATTGTGTCCCAACTGCATGTATTTATTATTTCAGCAGAAAAAAAGTCTCATTAAAATATATTTTACACTGTAAACAATTTAATTCCAAGATGGGTCTTCATTCTTAATGTGGATCATTTAAGTGTAATATTACTTATATGTTGTATTTGGATATTTTACAATAAATTTAATTCATTTAGGGTGTTCATTTTGTTATTTTTATTGAGCATCTAACTGAAACTGTACAGATTTATGTACTGTAATACACTTGTATATGTATGTAGGTAATAAGTTGAGTAAGAAATAATGTCTGCAATTACATTTCTTAATAGAATATGTCCTGTATGTGAAAGTGAATGGTGATACAAATAATTGCATATCTAAATGAAAGAACAAAATCCCAGTCCATTTATAAGGAGCTCAAAAGAGAAACAAAATAACATAAATGTTAAAACTAAAGTTTTGTAGCTTATTTTTCAATCACTTAAATAAGAAAGATCAGAAAAATTTATCCAGTCTTCAATACAATAGTGATAAAAAAAAACAACAGAAATTCAACTTCATACAACATTAAACTTAAAAAATATACTGGTAAGTTGAGACAGTTTACACTTGAAATACAGCCTGGGTATGAAACAATATATTGGGTTTAATAAAGAACAAAAACC